CGTTAATCGAAATGGCAACTGCAGCGGGGAGTAAAAAGCTTCTTTAAAGATGATTTCAGTATTTTCTAAAAAATTCTTTTCCGGAAATTAAAATAAGGAAGTGAAAGTACAAGAAGGTTTAAAAAAATGACGGTTACAAAAGATCGATTTTTCAATGTTTTCATCGATTTCGGTTGTTTGTTTTTTCTCGAGTCAAAGTGTAGGAAGTCAGGTTTCAGTCACATGTGTTAAAACTCCGTTTAGGGTTCTGATAACTTCAAAAAGTTACCATGGCCGCTAATTTTTTACCAGGGAGCATCGCCACTATCTTAATAAAAGTTCACTTTTCCTCGAAAAAGTCATAAAATCTTTTTGTTCATCACAAGCAATTCCCGTGTAAATTCTCCGGACGTCTTTCCGTTGAGAGTAGGGGTGATCGCCCTCAGCGTGAAGTCTCCATCTCGGTCCTTCGATTAGTCGGCTTCTTTCTGGGCAAAAACTCTGTGCGCAGAGTAAATTATGAACATGATATAATGAATGGCGAGTATTCGCACATTTCAGGATGCTATGACAAGGGTACGTCATGCACCAAAAACACGTGCACCAAATTCCCGGAATTTGCTCGTAACAACTGCGCTAAAACGTGTGGTTTTTGTGACTCAGGCACTTCAGGTACGGTGCTCTGCCGTACACAATAGTATTTTCTGAATAACTGCTTTTTTATCCAAATGAAAAATCAAGTAACTCCTGAGTTTATTTTTGTCAAACTTTCGAAATTAATTAAACGCATGAACCAAGACGGTGGTTGAAAAAGTGCCAGACTTGGCCATAAAGGGTAAAGACGAGAAACACTGATTCAGAACATAAAACTAGTCTGAGAAACTGAGTTTGGGGCAAAAGTTAAAAATTTAACCAGAATTTTGCTAAGAGGCGCAAATTCCAAAAAAAAAGAGCATTAAATTCGTTTTATTTTCAGACAGTGAGAATGAAGTGCAATTTTTTTATAGGGGAGGGGAACGCAGAAGCGTTGCCTTTGTGGGAAGATGATATTGCACATTGTTACAAAGCTAGCAGTCCTGCCAACCCTTCGTAACTGGCGCTTGAATAACTGGTAGATCAAGGGCCTGACTAACATCAAAATTACTAGTAGTACCTGTAAGCCACAGAGTTAATAAAACACGGTTCTAATGCTGTTGGGTTTTGGTAGCAACAATATCAAAACCACCGGAACAGGTTGTCCGTCTCAATGACGTTACTCTAATGTTCCACACGTTGGATGCAGTCATGTCAATCTGCTCGTTTCTGAACTGCATTTCTCTAATTACTACCTAAAACCTGTTTGGCCCATTTGCGTCACATCTTCAGGAACTTTCCGAGTGGCTTTTTTCACTTTCCGGGTACCACTCATCGATATGCGATACTTATATCAAGTTACATTAATAAGATCATTATTAATAAAAAAATTTATTCACAAAGAAGTAATGGTAGCACAGTGCGAACAACAACATGTTCTCCGATTAGCTAGGATATAGCTAGGATATGTGTTTCAGGCTTGGGAGGATCGGCCTCAGCACACAAAACATTTGGCAGCAGCAGCATCAGTAGCAGTGGTTTGGATGCTTGCTATGATAAGGATCCCGACTGCAACCAAGAAATTTGTCGCACTTTGCCGTACACAGCCAAAGAACGCTGCCCTAAATTCTGTGGCCTCTGTCAATCCTCGTCATCATTGTCC